TCATCCATTCTTCTCCTACCGAATATGTGCTTCTTTGCATGAAAATGATCATTGTCGCCGTTCGTTGATCATGTGTTAAGTTAGAAGTGTTGGGATCTTGGGATTGAAGATGGTGGAGGAATAATGCTTGCTTATAGTATGAATTGAAGATAGTGGAGGAATGTTGATCTTGGTATACAAGGACTTGAATTTTTTTAGTTTTTCATAATTAAATATTTTGATTTTTTATTAGATAATATTATATAGTTAGAATTGAATTTTTTATTATATTTTTTAAAATATTAAGATTTTTTAGTTATTAATTGTAATTTTAAGTTTAATATTTTTTAATTTTTAATTAGTAACAAAAATATAGACAAGAAAATTTAGGTTTATTTTCATCATTAAACATCTCGACTAACTTTTACCTTAAATCATGAAAAAAAATTTAATTTATCTAACTGACTTCTAAAAAAAAGTATCCAAATATAAATCACATTACATTCACTGACTTTTTTTTAACTTTAGTTTGCTAACCTTACTTGAATCCTAACCTCAGTTGTAAATTTTTTAATCCAAACACACACATGATAAGATGGGAAAATTTTATTCAATCCTCTGACCAAATTTATTTATGGTTAATATTTTAAAATTTTAAATATCAGTTAAGTTCTGTAGGTCTCATTTGGACTACGTTGAAATTTAATTTTTAAAAGAAATGATACAAATAATCACAATCCCTTTGAATAAAAATAATTGACATTGAAAAAAAAAATAACTAATGTATAAAAAATGAACAACTGACATAGAAAAAATTTACAACTCTTATTAATAACATAATACCACTATGAATGAAAACAAATAAAATGATGTACATGAACAACTCATATAGAGAAAATTGATTAGTATTGTATGAAAATTATATAACTGACATTAGGAATTGAGATTATTTGTGTCATTTTTTTCAAAAACTTAATTTTAATTACGTACAAATGAGATCTATAAAGACTAAAGGGAAAATGACAATGAAGTCCCAAAGGATCAATTTTATTCAAGGTAAGTCCCAAGACATTCCAAAAGGCTAGTTAAGTCCCATGCTGTTTTTCACAAATCAAACTTACAAAAGAAATGACAAAAATGCCCCTATGATTAAATATAACATGTACACTCATCAGCTCCAGCATTTTCCTCCCAATTTATCTCTTTCCCGCCATTAATGAGAGCTGCATGTAAGTAATGGGGCTGCACATTAAAGAATACCATTTCTAAAACAAAGTTGTGCTTGGAAGAGGTGGAGTTGCCTTAATTACTGACTCAAGGAAGCTCAAGGAGTTGTGCTGGTGCATTTAGACAGGTGTGTCTTTTTTTCAAATCCCTGCATCTGAACAAAAAAGTTTGCTTTATTAAGGTCTGATTTCTTGCAAAATGGCTCTCGTAAGGGAAAACATGGAACGGTTTATTGCAACTGAACATAAAAGATTTTTTTTTATTTCATGTTTCTAAAGATTTGGCATGAAGATTCGACATTTTGCAATTGAAAGTGTAAGAATTTATCATCGAGTGTCCATATCTTAAGATGGAATGCTGTCATTGTTTCACTGATGCAAAAATCACTTATATCAAAAGGAACTTATTTCTAAGTGATATATTATTACATTTCATTTTATTTATTGTAGATTGATATTATTGGGTATGATGGAAAGTAGTTGTTTCAAGGAAATTTTTTGTTATTTTCATTTTAGTGGAGATATTGTAAAAAATATGCATGGGACATTGCATTATGATAGGGGGAGTTGTAATGGAAGAATGATTAGAGAAGGAATGTCTATTGAAGGACTTGTTAGATTGATTTCATCATACTTGAATTGTGATTTAAATGGAATAGAGTTGAAGTACACAGTAAAGTTTGATTGTAATGCTCTTATAGACTTTAAAGATGATGAAGGGATAAATCAATTAATAAAATTGAATGATAATTTGGCTCATGTGTATATCATTGGGAAGATACAGCAAAGTATAGAGGCAACAAGAGATTCAATTGATGGGTAAATTTTTTAATAGTTGCATGATTAATATTATGCTAATATGAATATGAATGGTAGTAATAAATATGATTTGAATGGAAATGTAGAGCAGGATGTTTAGCTGGAAATTCATAGGCTACACAAGATCTTGAAGTTCTACTATGTGCAATATAAAGTATCCTAACACCAATGCTTGAGCTAAATGCAACAAAGTGGAAGGATTTGCTAGTAGGACCTAGGCAGATTTTTATGAGTGTTGATGATTGTAGACAAGCAATCTACAAGTATAGTATTGCACTATGCATGTTATCTTTGTAGCTCATAGGAAAAAATTTACAATAGCACTATGCATCATGTTGAGACCCATGAGATGTCAAAGCCAAATGCATTGACAGTATCTAAGCTCATAAGCCACACCTTTTTGCTGCCTCCTAGAACATCTCGATTAGTTAGTAGACCTCGTCGTGTGAGAATTGAGTCTCAATATCAGCAGAAGAAGGTTTATCATTGTTCTTTTTATCATGAAGCAGGTCATACACGAAAGAGGTGTAGAAATCTAAATCCAAGTTGATGTTATTGTAAATGGGTTACCACATGAACTTGAATTTGGGTGATATACATATATGGGTAGTTTTAGATCAAGTTAGATTTGATTAACATATATAAGTTTTTATACATATATATTGGTAGTATTAGGGGATTTTTTTAGTACATAGCAACCCCTCTTTTATAAATCCAAGTTTATGCTTTTGTGTATGTGGACAACTAATATGTGCAGATGCATTAAATGAATTAATACATGTAACTTATATGTACAGTTCATATCTTCTGTAATAACTAAAAGTATGTTGTCTTAAAATTTTGAACAGAGGTTACAAATTATTTGTAAGGCAGTTGCAAAATTTGGTATGTCAATTGCAAATTACTGGAGCCATGTTCTAAAATAATTTGGTAGCTTTGCAAGTTTAAGAATTCAAAAGTTATTCCACCCAAAATTTTGAGAATGAGTTGCAAATTATTCGTAAGGAAGTTGCAAAATTTAGTATGTTAGTTGCAAATTACTGGAGTTATGTCCTAAAATAATTTAGTAGCTTTGTAAGTTCAAGAATTCAAAAGTTATTCCACTCAAAATTTCGAGAAGGAGTTGCAAATTATTCATAATAAAGTTGCAAAATTTGGTATGTCAGCTGCAAATTATTGGAGCGTTATCCTAAAATAATTTGATAGCTTTGTAAGTTCAAGAATTCAAAAGTTATTCCACCTAAAATTTTGAGGAAGAGTTGCAAATTATTTGTAATGAAATTGCAAAATTTGGTATGTCAGTTGCAAATTATTGGAGTCATGTCCTAAAATAATTTGGTAGCTTTGCAAGTTCAAGAATTCAATAGTTCTTCCACCCAAAATTTTGAGAAGGAGTTGCAAATTATTTGTAAGAAAGTTGTAAAATATGGTGTCTCAATTGCAAATTATTGAAGCATTGTCCTATAATAATAACTTTAAGAATTCAATAGTTCTTCCACCCAAAATTTTGAAAAGAAGTTGCAAATTATTCATAAGAAAGTTGCAAAATCTAGTGTCTGAATTACAAATTACTGGAGCATTGTTCTAGAATAATAACTTTCTTAAAAATTTAATGGTTCTTCCACCTAAAATTTTGACAAGCAGTGGTAAATTTGTCTCGAGATAGTTGCAAAACTGGATACCTAAGTTGCTTGACAATTTAATTGATTGGGTATAATGTATAACTTGAACATTACAAATACGTTTCATTATTAGAAGTTAGGAATAAAATTGTGAAAACAAATTATAGAGTTACAAAGTTGCAAACTTGATTAATTGGGTATAATGTATAACTTTGAACTTAAAATCCATTTGAGCATGTCCTTACTTGTATAAACTACATAGTCCCCCTTCAGCTAAGACACTCAAGGAAAAAAATTGAAGAAGAAGCAATTTCTACATAATTGAAATGGTGATTGTTGATGAAGATCAGACTTTTCAGCTAGGCAAATGCATCACACCTATCAAAGATTAATGACCAAAATAGATTACAAATTAATGACCTAAGCAACTGATCACTTAGGGCAGAGAAGAGATGTTAAACAGGACTAGAATAGAGATGACAGACAGCTTTACTGGATAGCTCAGGGAAGAGAAAACATAGAGCTTTACTCACTTGTAATGAGACAGGGAAGAGACGACAAACAAGGCAGGAAAGAGTAGAGAAGGAGCAACATCAAATTTTCATAAGCCAAATGAGGGTATTTCGGTCATTTCTCATTATATTAAAATACTACTCAAGGACCTAGGGACTTAACTAGCCTTTCATAATGTTTTGGGATTTACTTTAAATAAAATTAATCTTTTAAAACTTAATTGTCATTTTTTCAAGACTAAACTGATATTTTAAAATTTTAAGGGTTGATTTTAAATAAATTTGTTCAGGATTTTAATGAAATTTTTGCTACTAAGATTCCGACTACTGATGTGGGCCCAAGGTTTTTCACTATAAATGAAGAGCGAGCAGTCGAGTTCAGCTAAAGCATTTAATAGAGCCTTCGTCTTGTACTGTTGTGCACTTGTACTACAACTCACTACAAGGACGACCAATTAATATCAGTTCATATGTCGACGTGATAAGCAGAAAGTGATTCGCTTCCCAAATTCTATTTATGCCTTTCTTCTTATTTATCTTATATTATCCTATCCTTTTTATAATTTTTTTTTTAATTAGATCACTTAAATTAAGGCAGTTAATTAAAATAATAAAATTATTTTAAAAATAATTCACTTTTTAGTTTTATCCTTAAATTTAAAAATGAGTAATTTAATATATGAGAATATTTTTTTAAAACATTACACTATTTTTAAAGAATTTATTTAAAGATATTTTTGGAATTGGGCTTTAAAAATTACAAAAATAAGAAAAAACAACTTGTATAAAGAACCAAGAAAATTTTTTAGAAAATAAATAGTACCCAAGGAGTAATGCTTTGAATGGCTAGAATCAAAGGCCAGGCTCAATTCTGTCCAGACACAACCACATATGCCCCATGCAGTACATACCAAACCAATGTCAATGGCTTACTCTCTTCCCTTTCGTCGAACGCCAATCAGAGCGATGGATTGTACAACACCACCGTCGGGCAAAACAACCCCAGAGCCACCATGTACGGCCTCTTCCTCTGCCCCGTAGACGTCACCGGTCCGACTTGTCAAGAATGTGTTTTCCGAGGCAATCGAAGATATCCTCGTGAAACGCCCCTAGATGAAAGAAGCCATCATTTGGTAAGAAAAATGCTGGTTACGCGATACTCGAACCAGTCTTTCTTCTCCACAATGCAAGATAACCCCATGGTTACGGATTGGACCTCCGGCAATGTATCAGACCAGAGTGGCTTTACGAGACTGTCGAGCAATAGGTTGAGTGTGGTGGCAAAAGAAGCGGCGTACGGCGGCAAGAAATCATTTGTGACCAAAGAAGCAAAGTTTGGCAGTTTTGGAAATCTATAACTTCTGAGTTTTTGACCAAATGAAACTTCAACTCCCTATCTTAAACTTTCGACCCAAAAAAAAAAAAGTTATAAATCTGAAAAGAAAAACGGTGAATCTTTTTTTTTTTTGGAAGCACTATTTCAAATTTATTATTTTTTTGGAAAATAAAAAATTGCATGAAATTTCAACCTCCTCGCCTTTAGCGGACTTGTGAGTCTGAGAGAGGGTCTATTGTGAGTTTCTTTCTTAAAACTTGTATTTAAAAAAATTATATAGAATTTCAATCCCTCTTATGGACACTTTGTGAATTTGAATAGAATAGTTGTGAACTCCTTTGTAGTATGTGTAATTAAAGAAGCTTGTTCATCGCCCCCGGGGGGGGGGGGGACAACACAAACTAAAATTAGTCTTAGAAATTTATTAGTGATTAATATGGCATGAAGTGAAGTTTCATTAATGTACTTGAAAATAGTAAATTTATATGAATTATTTTTTAAATATGCATAAAATTTCTCCTAGATAAATGGCCTGTTTGGCTTCCGTTCTCATTTTTTATTTTTAAAAACTGTTTTATAATCCAGTTTTTAAAATTATTTTTAAAACAAAATAAAATAAAAAATTCTTTGGTTATGCCAATTAAAAAACATTTTTAAAATTAAAAAATAAATTAATAGTGATGGTTATAGGCATTTAATGATTGTGAGTATTAATAAAAATTAATCAAAGTAACTACAATTTTTAATAATTAAATATATTATATTTTAAAAATAATAAAAATAAAATGAAAATAAGTTAAAATTATTTCTATTTTCTTATTTTTAAAAATAAAAAATGAAAACAGTTTTAAAAAAAAATTATCCAAATAAATTTTTAAATTTTCATTTAAAAAAACAGTTTTTAAAAACAAAAAACAAACAGGCCCAAAGATTTTTAAATTTTTTATATTAGTGATTGAGAAAATACCTTCAATTTTAAAATTTTTGGGTAAAAAATACGTACATAAATTAATAAAAGATAAACGTGACTAACTTATTTATATTTTTTTGTGGAATTAATTTATTTTTGTTATTTGTTCAGATAAAAGCAAGAGCAAGATTCCAGCCAGAACCATTACCTCCATAGTTGTACCAACAGTGACGGTCACATTACTAGCTACTCTCGCTCTGCTTCTTGTGCCAAAAGAGGGGAGCCAGGACGAACCATTCCTCTTCCTCAGTTCTTACTTCCTAAACAATCTGGCATGCGTATGATAATGATCAGCTTTCATATTGAGATACACGTTGCAATTTTCACTTTACGTGGAAGTAATGATTAAGGAAGTATCCTTCGTCGATTAATATGATAAATTTAATTACAACGATCTAATTAATTGACAATTTCCCTTCGACCAGTCAAACTATTTTGCAAGAAAGTTCTGTGGAAATTGAAATTGATCAATTTTTTGCCTGGTTACGCAGTTGAGATTTCAAGTGTAGAGTCCCTACAATTTGATTTGCATACCATTAAATCAGCCACAAATGACTTCTCTCCCGACAATAAACCAGGTGAAGGAGGATTTGGTGAGGTCTACAAGGCATATAAGTCTATTTCACTGATGAAAAGCAGAATTACTTTTAGAATTAATTATAAACTTATTATTTGTTAATTTGCAAAGGGATTTAAACAGTTTGGTTATTTTTATGGTATATATGCAGGGCATTCTACCTAGCGGACAAGAGTTGGCCGTGAAAAGGCTATCACGCAGCTTCAAACAAGGCGTAGAACAGTTTAAGAATGAAGTTGTTACCATGGCAAACTTCAACATAGAAATCTTGTAATGTTACTGGAATTTTTTTGGATGAAGAAGAAAAGATGCTCGTCTATATATGAATTTTTGCCCAACAAAAGCTTGGACGATTTTCTGTTTGGTAAGTTCTGTACAATTATTTTCAACATTTAGGTACGCATACGATGACTAATCCAATCATATAATTTTATTAATAATTGGTTTGAATTACTTGAGTAGGGCTGCATCGTAATATAATTTCATCATGTGGTCTAAAACATGCTGGTTATATATCTACCCCATACAAGACCTGAAAGCAAAGGTAAATTGAATTATTGATAAGAGCATTACAAGATTATTGAAGGCACTGAATATTTTATCTTCATGAATATTCTCAACTCAAAATGATACATCCCCATCTCAAAGCACAAGCAATGTATTGTTAGATGAAGGTCTGAATTCAAAAATCTTCGACCTTGGTATGGTTAAACTTTTTGAAGTTGACCAAACTCAAGCAAAGACAAGTGTTCGTTGGTGGTAGTTGTAAGTTTCTGAAATCAAGTTTTTGCCAATTTAATTTTTTTCCATCATAATATTTAACAAACTAGAGAAAAGAGATGATTTACCATGTATGTATGCTATTTGTAGAGCTACGTATCTCCAGAGTATGTAAAGCTCGGCCAAATATCAATCAAAACTGACATGTATAGTTTCAGCGTCCTCATTCTTGAGATTATCGGTGGCAAAAATAATACTTCTTTCAATGTACCAAGTTACATATGCAGATCTCGTGAATGATTATTCAGTTTTGTTTTTTGTTTTGTTTTTTTGGGGGGCGGGGTGGGGAGCGGTCCACAGGTACCTGTTTAATTTGATTCTTATAAAACTCAATACCAAAACGAAAAAATCTTTTAAATAGGTCGTGTCAACAAACAAGAATCAAGGCCAAGTTATTGCCTTTTCATTTTACATTTTAAACGGAGGAAAATGGAAGCTTATCACACACACACACAAATATTGTACTCAGTAATGGATGGTGTTTAATTTCTGTCGATTGCCATGTACCATCACACGGATCCCAGTTATTTTTGAACATCGTATATATATATATATATATATATTCGATTGTCATTATACAAAAGTTTTATTTTTTATATTTTGATACGTTAGAAACGTTTTATTTGGACCAATAATAATAAAGACCACTTGAAAAAGAGGGTCTTCAGTGTCGTATATATGGGGCTTAAAAAGTCAGTCGTGTTATATATGAACGCTGAAAATTCATTGGTCAGTTACTATGTTTGCATCGCATTTAGCTCGTCCATGTGAGTCGACTTTCATGACAAGGTTGGAAGTTAATTACACTTTGATTGATAACGTTTGTCTTCAGAATTTCCTTCCCAATTCTTATCCTCTTCCTCATCTTTTATTTTTCCAATCACAAGATTAACATTTTCAATAGTTTAGATTTGATTTTTTTATAAAATATTTTTATTTTATTTTTACTATAGTTTTAAAATATTCAAATTAAATTTTAATATTTCGAATTTGGTTGTTTATTTTTTATAATTAATGTTTTAATAATTATTTTATAAGAGATTAAATTTACACCCTCTAAATCTTGTCAATCATCTTAATTCAAAAAATATCTGTGTGCAATGAGTCACAGTGGCCATGTCCCCGTGACAGATGTGCATGTGTTGTCATGGGAGTTTCAAATCCCTTATTTCTATATATTCTCGCTACAGGGGTTTTATTTTCTAAAATCAGAAATGTAAGTGAATTGTCTCAAAGGATTTGAGGATAATTATGAATAATTATATTGATTTTGTTTCACTCACAAATATTTCATAAATAAATTAAAATTGATAAGATATGGTTAATAAAAAAACTGATAAGATATGATTTTTTATATATTTTTATGGGGAGGAAAACAAACACCTCCACTTCTTTGCACTAGCCACAATGGTGCAAAGACGGAATGCATAGCTCATTTGTTTTAGTTCATTTCATTAACAAATTACTTTTAAAAAATCTATTTTTTTAATTTTTATAATATTTATTTTAAGAAACTATTTTGTAAATCATTTTTGATTATTTTAAGAAGCTATTTTAAGTAGTTTTTGAAAATAATATGATGTGGTAGATAAGAGAGATTGTTTAATATAATACATTCTCCATTAAAAAATGCAAAGCATTTTTAATCGAATCGTACCTCTCAATAAAGTAGTTTTTTATCTTCAAAATAACCTTATCTTTTCATGTTTGCCCTTATTTAATAAGGTGTTTCACCCTAAATTAGATATAAAATGATTTATTCAATGAAGGCACTTTAAAAAAAATAAGACAATAATTATACTTTGAAAGACTAAAAACGTCCTATATTTTTTAATATCCAACTCCTCAAAAAATACCTTATATTTTTTAACGGAGAGAGTAGCATTTATCAAGTTGTGCTGAATACCTATTAAGCTAGGTAAGTTAATTACCAAATAAATAAGCTCAAATGATGGCTGGCTAGGTATTTAAATCAAATCTTGAATAGATTGATTATTGTTAGGAAGTGCGCAAATAATTAGCGGAAGTAAACAAGATAAAATAATTAAAAATATGGAGAAGTTTGAGAAAAGTAAAAAAAAGATTACACAGAAAATTTAACATAGGAAAACCCCCAATATGAGGGACAAAAACCCATGGGCAACAAGCTAGCAATTTCACTATAGAAATAAAAATTATAATAATCATCTTTATTGTGGGAGATGGAGAAACAAGATATATATATATATATAGAGAGAGAGAGAGAGTGCTTCTTATCAACTAAAAATATTATATTACATGATAATAAATATCTCCTGAAATATCAAATAGATATATGATAAATTAAATCATGAATTTTGTAATTGATGGATACATAATCTAAATTAGAGCCTTAATTTTAAGTTAAATTAAAATGTGGTAGCTAGAAGAAATTGAGTAGCAAAGTGAAAGGAATTAGAATTTCTAGGGTGCTCCTTAATTGCTAATCTTACCTTAGATATATTCTTTGAACTTATTTTATTTTATTTTATTTTATTCATATTTATTTTTAATTTAATAAAAATTTCACTCTTTAATTGGATAAGTTAATTGAGATAAAAACAAGTTCTTTTGTGTCTGATTCCTGTTGCTTTAGTTCTTTGTAGGATGACTTTAATTCGCTTTATTACATTCGATCCGTACACTTGCAGTGTGCTTAAATTTTGTAAACATATAC